GTAAAATCAATGTTGAGACCCTGCTGATCTATCAACATTGACAATTGGTTGACAAGAAAAAGGTTGATTCAATGCTGAAATCCTGTTGATCTATCAACATTGAAAATTGATTGACAAAGAAAGGTTAAATCAATGTTGAGACCCTGTTGAGATATCAACATTGACAATTGGTTGACAAGAAAAGGCTGATTCAATGTTGAGATCTTGTTGATCTATCAATATTGATGGATCAACATCATCTCAACCTATCCTCAATGTTGAAAAAACGTTGAGTGCCCGCTGGGACCAGGAATATATCTCAGAATCAATATTTAATAAAATAAAATTCCAGTAATTAATTACTAGTACAGAATAGACAAAACAAGCACAAAATGTAATAAAAAGACTTCAATTTTAGTTCAGCTTCTACCTATTTTGCCAAGTTATTCATAGACTTCACCTAAAACTTATAAACTCAAATACTACAATATATTAAAACAATATCATAAATGTTAAAAAATGTCCTTTCTGAAACAGGGATGTTTCGGAAAGGACATTTATTTTAACATGACACTGCAATTAGCACACATGTCCGTGCAAAATAATATTTTACACAATCAAGAAGCATTACATAAAGAACTAATGCAAGGTAAAGAGAAGTACAGAAGTCCTCAAAATATCTCAGAATCAAAAACTTCATGGAGTCACATTTAATACTGAAACAGGAAAATTACAAAATATCATTGATTCGTCAAATTTTGGATATTTTCATCCATTTTTTTTTTGCAAATACATAAAAGAGCAATACTCTCTGAGTAAAACTAAGTGGTTTTTTGGAGGTCAATACCTTAAATTAACATAAAAGTCATACACTTTAAGGTTTAGCTTATGAAAATAAAAAAAAAAATTATTTTCAAAATTCAAATAATCATATCTTTATACATACACAAGGTTTTATCTCGGGATTGTCATTTCTTATACCCTTCAGGTCTATACTTTCAAGAAAAGTACAAATTTCAACAAAATAATGACTTCTATTTTTTTACCCTTGGTGGGAAAAAAAGGAGCCCAGGATTGTAAAAATGCCCATATGATATTGGTATATAATTCCCACAACATGTGTCTTCTCTTCTAGCAGGTTCTTCCAAAGATATGTTCTGAGGAAAAAAAAAAAAAAAAACCATTTTGCTGAAACGGGCTTTGATACACAATTTACTTATTTTTGTTAATGCAATGAAAAACATATTTGATAAGGCCAAACATTACTTTGAAATAACCTACGTGATAATAAGATCAATTTACCATGTTATGACTTAAACATAATAAAGGAGTTGTGCAGATGTAACCATTATTAATAATGCTTTAGTATTTATAATCATGAGCCCCTTGGTGTCTCCTACTTTTTGTAGT